TTCCCAATGTTTTAAGACTTGATTGTTTTAATAGGAGGTTTTATTGTCGATTGGAAAAATTTTATTAGGATGTCATGTTTAATTCTATTTTGTCTTATTGTCAAACCATCCCAATACTATGGTAAGGGACAGTCTAAAAAATTTTAAATAACTAAATAAATAAGTCTATCATTTAATGTTTTGCTGGCTTTTTAGGTTAATCTGCTTTTCAGGTTAATATGCCTCATGTAAGACTCAATTATTGACAATAGAAGCTTGCAACTATAATGTACTCATATTTTTGCCCTGTCTCTTTGTATCTGGCTAAAGCCCTTTCACTTCCCACCACTGAAATATTGCCTAAGAGCTTCTCTGAAATTAAATCTAGTCCTTGGACTGAAAGAGGCTTGACACCCCTGTTTGAAAGCTTCTTTGGCATCACCTCTCCAGAAGTAGCAAACACTGTATGCTCACATTCAGATGACCACAATGGGCAGGGGTGGCCTTCCTGGATATGCGCTCAAGCCTTCTGGGGAGAGGAACAGCTCTCAAGGTTATAACTGTTTTTCCGTCTAAACCAAATCCGTCTAATCATCATTATCACTCTGTTTTGGATTCAGTGAAATAATGTATTTTGTTCATTTTCATTGCAACACAAGGTGGCAACAGAGAGTTATTAAATCACCTTTTTTCATGCTGAAACAGATCATCTTGAGAGATCAGGACAGAGAATTTGTTTCAGTGCATGTGACCCTTAAACAAGCAACCAGAGAGAGGAATGAGGTTTATTTCCACATCTCGGACAGAGCTGGAGAATTTGCAAATGTGATAACTGTTATGGGAGTAATCATTTAATCTGTAAACCTGTTGCTTGCTGATCAGGAAGTAAAATGTATGGACCGGGCAAGGGTTTCGTTTGTAGCCAATGCTGATGTAGTTTTGTACCATCCAAAAAACCCCATATTATTTGGGTAGATTGAGCATGTTTTAGAGAGCCTTGTAAGTGAAAGCTCTCTAAAATCAAACCAACCAGCTGGCCATTTTCATGTGGAAGAGAAGAAGGCTACTACATTCATGCCACATTTGTGGTCTTCCCAAAGATGCCAGGTTGGCCACTGGGGGGACAGAATGAGGGACCAGATAGCCTGGCATGACATGGCTGCTCTGTTCTTGCATTCATAGAACCATAGAATAGTAGAGTTGGAAGGGGCCATGAAGGCCATCAGGTCCATCCCCCTGCTGTTGCAGGACACCACGTTGCACCATCCCACTCAGATGGCTGTCCAGTTTCACCCTGAATGTCTCCAGTGTGGGAGAGCCCACCACCTCTCTAGGCAGCTGGTTCCACTGTCGTATTGCTCTGACAGTGAGGAAGCTTCTCCTGATGTCCAGCCTGAATCTGGGTTGTCGCAAGTTGACTTGATTGTTCCGTGTCCTACACTCTGGCATCAGCAAGGAGAGATCTTGACCTTCCTCTTTGTGACAGCCTTGGAGGTACTTCTAGAGGGATAACATGACCCCCTCCCCCAGTCTTCTCTTCTCAAGGCTGAACCTGCCTAGTTCTCTACATACACACACAAGCCAGAAACAGTGTCAGAGGGTGTATGCCACTTAGCACCTGTGGGGCTTTTACCCTACCCAAGGGTCCATCGATGGTCCTTTGAGCCACCTGGCCTTGTTCCACCCACAATTTCTTTATGTGGCTTCCTGCTCAGCTGCCTCCCCAAGAGATCATGGAGGGAAAGCCATGGCATGTAGTTTGCCCTAATCAGTTGTTTGATCAGCAGGAAGAGAAGCAAGGCAGAGGGGAGAGAAAAGGCGAGGCTGGAGACAAGGAGTGGTGGAAAGAGACAGAGAGCAAAGGGGAAAGCTTTGAGCAGCTGGAAGAAGACTGGCTTGGTCAAGAAGCAACATTTTCCTTTTCTCATCCCCTCCAGACTCAAGCCCCACTTCTTGACCAGTCAGGTCTCCATGGGAGCCATTTTGTGCTCACAGCAGCTTCTGATATTTCTACATAGGTCCATTGGTTCACAAGGTCTGGAAACACCCAACTACTTTCCCACTTGCTTTCCCATGTTAAGCATTGATAGCAATGATAAGAAATTGGTGCCAAGGATGAGAAGAAGGATGAGGAGCAAGAGCAGATGGAGAGAATGGCAGGGAGGGCTTGACTCACTGAGAAAGGTGACCCATGGAGTCTGCCTTGTCCAAGAGCTCTCCAAAACCTGGATTCCACACTTTCTTTTGAATCTGTGTTGCTCCCACGAGAGACGTTCCCCAAAGTTTGGTATTCATTGTTGCCGGTAAACTTTAATTGCAACCATTGCCGTGGAGCTGATCCCCAAGATGGCAGCCACTAACAGGTCAGCCTTCTCCACTTAGCTCCACCCCATCACCAGCATAATCTCCTCCTAGTTCTTGGTCCTGCTACCACGTGATGTGACATTGCAAAGACTTTGGGTTTTGTTCTGTTTTTAGTGCTTCCCCAAAGTCAGAAAGCTAACCTTAGGAGTGGTCCTATCTATAAATAGTTTGGAAAATTTGCTACAGATTTTATTTGGTATTCATATCAGGAAAAAGTCAGAAGAAGAACTGCTTCTGCAAGAAATAAGCTCCTATTTCAGGTATCAATTTTAATATCTTTTTTTCAAGACCTGCTTTATGCAAACAAAGCAAAATGATGAAAAGAACCTAATTTAAAGATAGACAAAAATGCTTGATTGCTTTGCCAGAAAAACAGGAAGAAGCAAGGCAAGGAACGAAGCATTTCGAGGAATCAGGACACTTCTAAGTATTTAAAGCATTGGTTACTTTCCACTGTATTCTCATAGCTTTGGGGTTTGCTTGGGGTTGGGATTTAGGTAGGAGATGGTGAGTGTTGCTACAGAGGAAGAGCAGCAGTGGTTGAAACCAAACAGCTCATTTTTCAAAGAAAACACATTCCTATCAGCCAGGTCTTTCTAAACCTTTTTGAACAGATGAATTATACATACTTCAATCCCATTATGACCCCTCACTGCTCTTTTAATTTGCAGAATGGCAACTTATTCCCTCTTCCCTCAGAGCAGATAATTTGTGTGTGTGTGTGTTTGGTGTTTGTATACAGGCCTGGAGTGAGGTGGGCACAGTGGCACCGTGTGTGTGGGCACATCTTGCATGATAACCACACCAGTGTTGGGACAGGGCCTCGTCATTCCCCTGTAGTACTTCCAGCTCTGGCACCCCGTTTCTCGAGGTTGCACTGCATTTGCTGGTTGCAGCTGGGCCCACACAGGGACTTTTTGCTAAATTCCCAGATTGGATGGAGCAATTATTTTTTTCACCTGCCCTATCCTGAATCATCGATGATGATTCACTTTCTGTTGGTGGTGATGCTGTTAAAAAGATGGAACAATGTAGGCTGGGCAACAGGCATGGTTGTTTGGTGACTCCCCACAAATATGGAGAAGGCAGGAGGAGATCCTTTTGATCTGGCAGCCCAGGTCTTGGGTCTGAGGGCAGAAAGAGCAAGTCCTTGAGTCTCACACCAAATCCCCTAAAGTCACGGGGCTGCATCTCAGCAGCAAAATCCTCAGCACCCCAAGGAATGGCCAGACAACTGAAACAACCATTATGAGTGATGGGTAAACTTAAGCCAACCAAAATCATGATTCACTTTCCAGAATTCCTCTTCTGAATTCTTCATGCAGATGAAAGTCTCTATTTAGGGAGTTCTTGTGTTGTATAAAAGAACTACAGTAAATACAGAGATTCCTTCCTTGCTCACCAATCAGCTGCCCCAGTTTGCATCATTCCCCTCCTGACCTCATCTTCCCCAGCATGCCATGGGTAAGCACTCCTGGCAAGCAACATGGGCCTCACAGGTGGTGTTCCAGAGGGCAGGCACTTCCTGGGATTCCCATATGACTGTTGCTAGGATGCATTCTTGAATGGTCACCTTAGCATTCCAGGAAGACGGCTGCCAGTACTGCGAGTGTAGCACTCACAGGTTCTATGGAGATATTTGTTTACTTAGAGGTCTATGATAAATACATATGTTTGTATGTTGCAAACAATGTCAGAAAATAAATTCATTCTTATTCATAAAACAAACAACATGAGCAGTCATAACAACAACAAAATGCTACAACTTGTGCACCCAAATCCTCAGCGACAGCACTCATGCAGAAGTTGCTTTTAGAATTGCAAAGTACAAGTGTCCTTTTGAAATCAAATTCAAGCACATCTTCTGTTTGGTATCCTGGGGAGACGCACAAGGCAGCCATCCATCAGCACCTGGAACAGCTAGAAGTCTGTGGACTGACTATCCTCATTTGAGTAATAATTTTGCCATTATTCAAAGTCCAAAGATGAGACCACCCTTGGAATGTTTGGCACATTTTGGGTTGTTCCACCACAGAAAGGATATAACGGAGCTAGATGCACTGCAGAAAAGGTCAACTAAAATGGCTAAGGGGTTGGAACACTTCCATTACCAAGGGAAAACCACTTTTTTGGACAGTTTCAGTTTAGGGATGAGGAAAAGATAATCCAACCTTTAAAATGTTGCATGGTGAGGATAAATTGGACAAAGAAAGGTCTTTTCTCCTGGAGCCGGCTGGAGCCAGGGTCAGACTAGATGGCCCGGGAGACCCCTTCTGACTCGCTCTGTTTCTATGTCTCTTGCACCGCACCACAGCCTGAGCTTTTGCAATGAAATGGGCAGGGAGCTGAGGACAGATGAAAGGAAGTGGATCTTGTTGTAGCACGTAGTCTGTGGAATTAGCTCCTGCAGAGTTTTAGCGAAGTTCCAGTTTGTTGAGGGTGGGCGGGTGGCTTTTTCCCCCACCTGCTTGCATGTTTCTTTTACTTTTTGGGTCATAGTATGCCTGCAGTTCTGGTATTGCGTTGCTCCATATAAAAAGCACTGTGAAAGCATTGGTTCCTTTTAGATGCTCACTAAATAATTGCGTGCTCTCCCTCTCTCCTTCTCCCATCCCATCCCATCCCATTCCTTCCCTTCCCTTCCCTTTCTTCCGCAGGTAATGCATTTGTGGTGAGCCTGGCACTGGCAGACTTAGTGGTGGCCTTGTACCCTTATCCCTTAGTGCTCATTGCCATTTTCCAGAATGGCTGGTCCTTGGGGGACACGCACTGCAAAGTCAGTGGCTTCGTGATGGGACTGAGTGTCATCGGCTCCATCTTCAACATCACCGCCATTGCGATCAACCGATACTGCTACATCTGCCACAGCTTCACCTACGACAAGGTGTACAGCTGGTGGAACACCTTGCTGTACGTCTGCCTGGTCTGGGTACTCACCGTCATTGCCACCGTGCCCAATTTTTTCTTGGGCTCTCTCAAGTATGACCAGCGTATTTATTCGTGCACCTTCACCCAGACGACAAGCTCCTACTATACCATAGCTGTGGTCGTCGTCCATTTCATCGTGCCGATCACCATCGTGAGCTTCTGTTACCTGCGGATCTGGATCCTGGTGATCCAAGTGAGGAAGAGAGTCAAATCAGAAGTCAAGCAGAGGCTGAAGCCCAGTGACTTCAGGAACTTTATCACCATGTTTGTCGTCTTTGTGATCTTTGCCTTTTGCTGGGCACCACTGAACTTCATTGGACTGGCAGTCGCCATCAACCCTCTGGAAATTGCCCCCAAAGTTCCTGAGTGGCTGTTTGTGATGAGCTACTTCATGGCCTATTTCAACAGTTGCCTTAACGCAATAATATATGGACTTCTGAACCAAAACTTCCGAAAGGAATATAAACGAATCCTCATGTCCCTATGGATGCCGAGGCTGTTTTTTCAGGACACTTCCAAAGGGGGGACTGAAGCTCAGAAGAGCCGGCCCTCTCCTGCTTTAAATAATAATGACCAAATTTAGACCAATACCCTGTAAATATACGAAAGCTGATGCGGGAGGGTGCCATTGGGTGAACTCAAAAGTCATGGAGAAGAAGGCCATTGTGGCTTCCAGTGTTGGTGGCTGTGTGTTTTCTCCAGTATCAAGAGCAGTAAGAGTAGAGGGTGCAATCACATTCATGACCTGTTTTGTGACCTTCCAGGAAGGAATCTGGTTGGCCATTGTAGGAACAAAACACTGGACTAGATCAGCCTTTGGTCTGATCCAGGATGGCTCTTCTCGTGCTCCTGAGTTAATGTTGTTAAGGTTGTACATCTCATCCTTGCTTATCCTGTTCTGCACTTTCCATTTGAATGACATGCCGAGAGAACTGGAATCCTTTGTTCTTGACAAAGCTCATTCTGTTTGAACAGTTATCATTTAACAACTAGGCATGGATCAGAAATAAGTTTCAGAACTTAGGAGGAGGAGACAAATAAACTAATATCTTAGACTTCAGTGTCTGTCAAAGACCAACCAGTGTGTCTCTCATGTTCGTTCAAAATGTGGCTCTCAGGAAGTGAAAGACATGCACTGTCTTCTGAAGAACTGGGGTGCATGATGCATCAACATGTGTTTCTCCCTCTTCCATTTGTGTATGGAGAGTAATAAAAAATGCCTTCAGCTGATTGCTGGTCCTGTCTTACACAACCTGCAGGGTGCTAAAGGATAGATCTCTCTCCCCCTCCTCCCGCCCCTCATGCTAGACACACCTGATCTCACCTGGGCCAACATCCAGTCTTTGAACAATGTTTCCAACATTGGCATTACAGATTGCTCCCTGATCCTGCAAGGATGCCACAGCAGATCCATTGGGAAGCGACATTCTCATTCCCTATTATGCGCCCATAAATCTGTGCATACTATTACCAGATTAATCTATCATAGAATCACAGAATAGTAGAGTTGGAAGGGGCCATGAAGGCCATCGAGACCAACCCCCTGCTGTGCAGGACACCACGTTGCACCATCCCAGTCCGGCTGTCCAGTTTCTTTTTGAATGTCCCTAGTGTGGGAGAGCCCACCACCTCTCTATGATTGTTTTTAAAATCCAGAGGAAAATCAGTATTTAAACAGTGATTTAAATACATGTTCTTGAATGCATTTTCTCCCAAAATACACATTTATAACATATTTTACCTCAGAGTATGCTTTCCAAACTATTTTATTCACCACTGTGTAAATGAAGTGCATCTGGAGATGATGATGATGATGATGATGATGATGATGATGATATTATTAGTCTAGAGCTACCTTGCAATTCCCAATACAGCCAAGGAAAATAAATGCTATTTTAGTTATATTTACATGCCACCTTTTTTTCCTTTCAAAGAACTCAAGGCAGCTTACATAATTCTCCTCCTCATCTCATCTTATCCTCAAAACAACAACCCTGTGGGGTAGGTTGTGTTGAGAGTCTGTAAGAGTCTGTCGACATGCACATGGTGGGCATGACATGCTCATGGTGGGCATGTCGCGAGCAGAGCCGGTTGGAGCAGGGGGTCAGACTAGATGGCCCGGGAGATCCCTTCTGACTCGCTCTGTTTCTATGTTTCTAAGTGGCCCAAAGTCACCCAGTGGGCTCCATGACTGAGTGGGGACTAGAACCCAGATTGTCTGAGTCCCAGTCCCACATTCTTAACCACTGCACGACACTAGCTCTCAAATAATGCTAGACTTTGACCAAGGTTTTAAGCTTGCTTGGATCCAAAACTCAGGAAGGTTTGTGTTGAAGTTTGTGCCAAAATGGTGTGCAAAGACTTTCAAACATCTTTAAGGAAACTGGCATGTCAGTTTCAAAGATCTTATACCAACATTTAAAATATTGATGTTTTAAGAGGAAAGCAAAGTGTAATATTTGTCTATAAAATGTTTGGGAGAAAATGGCATTTCAGGAACAAAAAACTTCTCCTTTTGTGAGGAAAAGATTGTGCTTTTTAAAATATTTTTTCCCTCTTTAATACTGTGTGTTTGCAAAGTGGCTATGCTTATTTCCCATTTATGACATGCAGCTGTCATTCAGTTCTTCAGTCCATGCAGCTTTGCATGGGCGTCAATCACATCAATGACGTTAAAAGCTGCCAAAGGCACAATGCAAGGAGGCTGCCTAAAATGCTCCGAACTCAGAGGGTCCTGGGCCTCCTACACAGTGCAGGAGGAGGGCAAGGGTGAGGCTCGTCCTGAGTTCCTCCCACCATGCAAAGCACCTAGAGGGTCAGTTTCAGTTCAGTGGGTGGGAAGGAGTGCACGTTGCCTCCAGGATACTGGTGGGGCTTGTCTTCTTCTCTCCTCGCCCCTGGAAGCCCATCTCCGAGGTCAGTCCTGCGACCTCGGAGCTGCGGTCAGTGTGGTTCTTTCTGTGCCGGCTGCAAGGGCAGGTGGAGGACACTTCAAGTTTGGAGCCCCATCTCGGACCTCAGAGCAAGTTTCCAAGGTTGGACTGGGACCCTGTCTCCATGGCCATAGGACCATGCTGCCATTTCCTTTGGTGCTGAAAGTCACCATCATTTGCTTGCATCTAGTGTGATTCAGTAGACGGGGTCCCTAATCTTGCCCCAAAGCAGAATCTTTGGATGTGCGTTGGTGAACTCTCTCTACCAGGGTTGTTGTGTGTCACATCTGTGAGCCAAATCCAGCTTGCTTGGGGTTCCAATTCAGTCTATGGAGCTCCCAACTGGCCACTTCCCCTTCCATTGGTCCCACCTCCTTTCCTCCTGCTCCAAATCATTTGCTTGTTTGCCAAGTTTTGCATTCTCCCAAGCCTACAATTCTGAAAGTTTAGAAGTTAGACTCTCTTGAGGATTAATTGATGCTCTTTACAAGAGCATTAAGCTACACTATGATGCTATGGTTTAGTATTTTAGATCCTCTACCACTGGGATGCAGCCCCAAGACTTTCTCCAAATGGAATACAGCCCTTGGACTGAACAAGGTTTGATACCACTGGAAAGATTCAACACATCTGGTCTCTATAAAAAGCCCATTATTAGGTCCTGGTGTAGATCAGGCCTTCCCTCAAGACGTCTTGCTTCCAGAAGTAAGGAAAAAGATAGCACAACTCCCATTCAACACACCTGAGAGGAGCAGAGTACACACTACCCTGCACTCCAATGCTTTGTTGCCACCCAGCTTCTGGTCCTCAGGTAGTTGTCTCACTCTGCCTAATGATAGGGATGGTCCTGAGTCCACAGGACAGAATCCAAGGTAGCTGTGTGGAAATGAAAGGTAGGAGAGATTCTCCATGGATAAGTGTAAGAAAAGCATCACCAATGTCTCACAAAGCAGGTGTAAGCACCTCGCCGAGCAAGACATTAGAGTCCGCTTATGACCCACACCTGTCCTATTGACAGAAAGCTCACTACCAACCCTAATGACCAAGATATAGTGCTGAAAATGGTCAAAAGCCAACTATCTCTCCCACTGTACCCCAATATGTCCTATTATTTAAGGATAGGTGTCCTTTCCTATTCTTTAAGGACAGATTATTCTTCCCCCTCCCCCATCTGCTTCTATTTTTTCAACAGCTGTGAAAAGCAATGAGTTTGAAAGAGACATTGCCCGATATAGAAATAACAGAGTGCTCTCTCTCGCTCTCTTGCGCACACACACACACACACACAAATATTATGAATCTATTGCACTGTTTAAAAAGAAATACAAAATTCATTTCTGCAGAACTCATTTGTGCCACAAACTTGGGGAGGGGAAAAGCATTCTGTTTCCTATTTCACCACCTGAGACGCACTCTTATACATTTGCATCATGGCAAATAGAGAGGTCTCCTCAAGCTTTGCCAAGCAAGTGCAAAGGCATGAGATAGAACAGATCTTCTTGGATATTGCTTGGCTCCCTTTTGTTATAGCTGCTTGTCAGTGGACTCTGGATGGTCACCTATCAGGGAGAGTGCAGCAACATGTTTACTGGGCTGGACTAGATGACTTTTGAGATGCCCTCCAATTCTATGCTTCTGCCCACTATATTTGTAATGGGAGAACCTCAGCAGTACCTAGAAGCTCTCCTAAGGTCTCACCCGTGTCTTTTACAAATCACTTACCAGATATTACTAACATATGATTGGAAAATTAATCTTGCATTAATCTTCCAATAAAGTAAAGTAATGAAGTTGGAAAAGGTTAAGGTTAATCCTAATAACTTGAAACTTAATAACTTGAAACTCAAGTCAATAACCTGAAAATTTATTCCATGCCAGTGTAGACTATACCAAATTAGAAAAGAAGCACACTCTGCTTGTTTGTATGTCTATATCAGTGTCTTTCCTCCTCCTCCCCCTCCTCCTCCTCCTCCTCCTCCTCCTCCTCCTCCTCCACTGCTGCCCCTGCTCCTTCTCCTTTTCCATCTAGAAAATGCATTGCCCAATTGGTTCTAATTTTATCTTCATAATAATCCTAAAAGATAGGTCATTATTTCCCCACTTTATTTCTTTAACTGCTGTCTGGGACTCTGATTATGATAGACTATGATCAAGTGGGTAGAACTGAAAAATGAAGGTCCAATTTACTGCTCAGCGCTGATGAAGAATAGTGTGTTTACTTCCTAAAATATGTACCCAGCACATAATCAGCATACTCTCTTGGCAGCTAACAATCAATTACACAGTACGGCAAAAGAGCAAGACAAACATATTAAAACAAAAGAGGCAATAAAAGTACCACACAATAGCAAATTAAAACCAGATTCAGCAGACATTTTCGGAAGGCCTAGAGGGGGAAAAAAACCTTTTTTGCCTACTGCTGAAAAGGTCTGGGGATGTGTGCTAGGCAAGCCTCTTTGGGCTGAGAAAATCGAGCCCCTTGAAATTCTCCATCAAATTGGGCAGCAAAATTGAGGTACCATTTTGCCACCCATTATCCAGAGGATGAAGAAATTCTCAAGAAGTTTTTAGGGGCAAGCTGGATTGCCCATCGGCTGCTGCAGCAACACCACTTCCTTTTCCCTAAGATTCTGTCCCTGCCCTTTGCTTG